ACGGAGTATAGTTTTAAATCCTTATCAGAGCTGGAATGTTCTAACAAAATACCATTATATAATACTCATTCCTTTAGAATTTAATTTTATGTTTTCAAAAAATACTTCATATTTAAGAAATGGGATAAAAAACCTTTAAGTTAGGTTAGCTTTTATTCATTGGTGGAAACAATACTACTATGCTCTCAACACTATGTTTGGTTCAAGAAATTTGAAAGAAAAAAGAAAAGAAAATGAGAAGAAAGTTTTTTCTCATTTGGTTAAAAAGGAAATGGTAAGAAAAGTAGAAGGAAGAGCAAATGGAAGAAGAAAATAGATTAAGGAAAATTATTTTCCTTCCATTTTGGTGAGGAAAGGAGAGATCTTTCTTTTCCTATCCTTTTGATTTCCATGAACCAAACATAGCGTAAGAGTTAAGAGTGTTTTTTTATCATTCACAGTAATTTGTATAATCTTCTCTTTTAAATATGGTAAGTGGACAATTAATATAGAGGGAGTAAGAAATACTGAGTATATGGCAGAAAACTTTTGAAGCAGACTGGACTCAAACAAGTAACATCTAATGATTGGTATAATCAATCCATGCTTCCTTTTAATAACAAACCACATTAATGAAACCGGTCTCACCAGTGGCGTAGATAAGCACGACATGGTAAAATATCATCTCGCCAAATCCGGTCAATGTTATATTGGCCATATCGCTTGAAGAAGATCTCGAGGTCACCTGTTAAAGATCACATTGCCCTTTTAGCTTCCCAACTAGGCAACTACCATAACCCTCACCAACAATAAAAGTAAACGTGCCTTTACATCTTTCCTTAAGATATTCCTCATCAGTATAACGTGCACATAGTACCTACACAAACAAATTGAATATGTAAATCACTACTCCCTCCAGGTTCATATGTTCGTGTTCTTCTAAAATGCACCTTGTGTAGTAAATGTTTATGCATCTATGGGAGAACGTCCATAATTCTTAGATTTACCTACGAATTTGCTTAGTTGTTCACCTTTCTTTATATGGGCATCCAGATGTTGTAGTCCACTTACCTTATTTGGCAAAATTCCACATGATCTGTCTAAAAGTACTGCATGAATAAAGTTCATCACTGGGCTTCTTCTTCTCTACTATTGCCTCATTATGGATAGTTTTAACAATTCACCGTAATTCTTAAATTTAAGATATATTACTAAGGGCTGTTTGGCAATTTTTGAATAGGTAAGTGCTGAACCAGTAAGAGGTCTCAACCATTAAGAGCTAGTATATTGTTTAACTATTCAGAGGAAAATGTCTGATCAATTCAGATAAGAGGTCTTAACCATTCAGACTCTGTATAATACTTAACCATTCAGAGGCAAATCTCTTAACCATTCAGACATCTGAACCATTAAGAGGCTGAAACAAACAGTCTGAACCATTAAGTGCTGAACCATTCAGACATTTGAACCATTAAGAGGCTGAAACAAACAGCCCCTAAGTAAAAAGAAAATCAAGATCGACAAAGTACTCGATTACAATGAAAAATTCAGTATATGCAGGTAACAAAGATAAAGTAATTGGTCCCATCTATCTCACTTACTGCTCGATTTGTATATAGTAATCCATTCAACGTTTCAGGGGTGACCTAAATGAAAGAAACAAGAAAGAAATTAGTTGCCTTCAAATTTTAAATAATGATAAACAATGTATGCAATAATTGGTGAGAGTAGAAGATAGGATAAAGCAACTAACTGCGAGAAACCGAAATTCATGCTCCCTCTCCATGAACGCTGGTATCTAGTTTCGCAAAGCAAGAGGTGTTGAAGTTAAGTGTATGTCCAAAACTCAATAAGTAATAACCAGCTGAAAAAAAACAATTGATCTCTCTATACCTCTGATTTTGAAATTTCAAATGCAGAAATTATAAGGGTTTCCCCTTCACAAGGCTCCACGCTCAAGCTTGACATCTCCTGATAGTATAATGGAATCACCCTCATAATTCAGTTAGTTAGTTATTAGTCTTCTACGAATTGTCCAAAACTCATAATTAATGTCAATGACCCAAACAAGCAGAATAGGAGAATGCAAATTGAAAATGGCACCTTGGTTTCGGGTTTAGCTATGCCCCGCTCAAAGAATATGGGCGCTACGTGAGCAAAAACCCTCCGGAATCCAATCAATTTGGCCACTCTGAAACCTATTAGACCGGGAAACGTACTCCGAGCACTTCTCTCTACATTGCAAGAGAAATCGATCTTCAATTAAATTGCTAGATGACAGTTGTCAAGACGCTCCATCCAGCAACAAAAATGATAGAGGAAGTGAATATATACCTGAGAGAAGTGATCCGAAGCCACATATGGAGACGAGTCCATCGGAGGAGACGATGCGATGGAAGTCGGACTCGGTGGTGAGTTCAAAAGGAGGGGTCGTCATGGCGGAGTATCGCCGGAAAAGGGAACCGGAGAGGTCAACCGGGGAGAGAATCGGCGAAGGAGGCCGATGATTAAAATAAGAATAGCGGAGCAGAGGTGGGGAGCCGAGAGAGAAAGGAGAGCGGGGGACGCTGGGAAGGGAAGGTTCGGCATGCTGGAAGACCCGGCAGGGCTACGGAAAGGAAAGAGAAAGCCGGGGTATCTGTTCCAGTGTTCCCAACCCGGCAATGGAATTAAACATGTGGCGAATTTGAGTGTTGTTTTTTTCTCCTTATCTGAGGGAGAGGGACAGGTCAATTCGAAAACAACTCTCCTCAGTCCTCAGCAGACTGCTTTGGAAAAATTTTCGAGACAGGGAAGAATTATTAGACTGAATTCGGCCGAGGGAAAAACTCAGTTGCTGACTTCCTTTGAAATTACATTTTTTAATTTTGCACAAAGAAAGTCGCTGACTTCCTTTGAAAATACTTTTTTAAATTTCAACCAGCCTGGCACACACTTGCCTCACAGGTTCCGTGAACTTTTTCTCAAAGGAAGTCGGCGACTTCCTTTGAAATTACTTTTTGTTGACCGGTTCACTTCCTCATATTTTACTCTTTATATTTTTTTGTTTTAAATTAATTTCTACTTTTCAAAATAAAAACATAATTTATATTAATTTCTTTTAGTATTGATTTAATTCAAAAATAATTAAAATAAGAACTCATATGATGATATAATTAATTTGACATAAAAAAAATGAAAACAACAAAATTACCTTCATAACATAAATAAGATTTGTTCAACAAACGTCAACAGAAATTAAAAAGATAATCTAAAAGAACAAATAATTTTAAATGACTTGCAACTCTCTCCATCTCTCCCAAGAAATGCGAAAATTCAGTTTTGATGCCTTGCCACTCTGTCCATCTCTCCCAAGAATCGATTTTGCTGTCGACGACAAGACCGAGAAATTTCTTCAGCGGGCCTAACTAGAGGTAGAATACGTAAATTCCCGTAAACTGATTGTTGTGGGAAAAGCACGCGGTTGATGTGTACATTGTAACATCTCATATATTGTTCAACTGAATACATTGAAGAGATTTCGTCGTCAGCCAACCGTCGAAAAGAATGATACAGTCCGTGAACATGCACACATGGAATACCATCGCTGCTCCACTGTCCGCAAGTACATGTTTTTCTTCCCAAATCCACTAAAAAGCTATAGATGTTAGCTGGATTAGACCTTGATGTTCTGCTTACCACATATTCTTTCCCACCGTAATGCACAGCTTGAAAAAGTTGTTTATCTTTCTCGTGCTTCTGAAAAATCTTTGTGATTTTAGGAGTAAATAAACAATTTTTCCTCTACCACGCAAAACATGCTTTACGTCGTGTCTCGAACTGATCAATGAGTTTATTATACGACATTGTGACAATAGCAGTTACAGGTAGCATCCGACAACCCTTTAACATGTTATTGAAGGTCTCTGAACTGTTGGTAGTAAGTATCCCACATCGATGACCGCCATCATGACTAAGCGTCCAAAACTTAGGTCGAATTCTTGCAAGCCAAGCATATGCGACCTCATTTATACTTTTGATTTCTTCCATGTGTTTTTGAAAATCCTGGATGCTAAGAGTGCTCCCTGCCGCCCACATGAGATTTTTTAATGTGCCGTTGTGGAACGCCGTGTTAAAGTTACTTCGTAAATGACGCAGACAAAACCATTTTTTAATCCGTCCAGTGCGGAGTTCTTGGACGTCTTGATATGCATTAATAATTCCCGCATGCCTATCAGAAATCATTGCAATCTTTTTATCTCCTATGACCTTATGTGCAATAAGACGTAAGAACCATGACCAACTATCGGGCGTTTCACCATCAACAACAGCGTACGCAAGGGAAATAACTCACGGTTCCCATTCATTGTCAATGCTAGGAGTAAATGTCCTTTGTACTTTCCGTACAAATGTGTCCCATCTACAGTGACCACAGGCAAACAAAATTGTAGGCCGTTGATTGCCGCTGGAAAAGCCCAAACTGCATACTTAAATGCAAATCCATCCGTGGGTTCAACATTGAGGTTTGGTTGAGGCTCTGTATACACTAACTCTGCCATAATACCCGGATATGAAGTATGCAAAGTGTACAAGAGAGTTGGAAGTAGATTGTAAGAGTCTTTCCAGCCCCCGTACAACATCTCTGATGCATCAAGCATGGCGTGCCAACATTTTTTGTATGTGACAGCGATGTTGAAGAGCTCCATAATTTCGTGTTGAATATGTTGAATATAAGTAAGCCCTCGAGGCCAACTTATGATTTCATATCTATATTATATCAAGAACAATAGGCCCTAAAGATTGTTTAAGTCGTCTCGTGTGATTTAAACATAGCTTTAGTCCATAGAGTAGGCGCTCTAGTAACATAGATGAGAACTACGACGTTCTGATTATGAGGCTGTTACAAAGATAGAGGCTACGTCTAAAATATCCTTAGTCGAATATTATGACAATACGGACATCATAATATATCAAGACTAATACGTATGAGATGAGATAGCTGCGTCTCATAGGCTATAGATAAAGTGTTATCTGAATCTATGCGTAGGCAAACATAGTTGTACAAGTAGTTTGTGGTTAATTACGAGATGCATGAACTCGATAAACCACTGTCAGAACTTTTGAAGATGCTACAAATTGCTGAAGAGAGCTTGACGAAAGGAAAGGGGAATTCTGTCCTTTTAGTACAAGGAGGAAAAGGCAAGAAGAAGTTCAAGAAGGCAAAGAAGAATGGGCCGGAAGGCAAGGGTAACACCGAGCCAAAGTCCAATTCTTCTAAGCTCAAGCCTAAAGGTGGAGTTACTAAAGATTCCATTTGTCATCACTGTGGTGAAATTGGCCACTGGAAGAGGAATTGCAAGCAGTATTTGGCAACCAAGAAAAAGGGTGAAGCTTCTGCTTCAGGTACAATTGTTGTAAAGACTTAAACTAATCTACAATCTCTTCAAAAGTATTTTGATACTCATAATATTGCAAACCGTTGCAGGAACTGAAGAGAATAAGTAGGAGTGTTGATCTTGAAGATGCAAGGGTTGCAGCTCAGTGGCACATTAGTTTAAGTTTTAGTATTTGATCAGTTTTCAATTTAGAATTGATATTTACTTATTGTTTTAAGTACTATTGGTTATTTCAATAAAGGACAAATTGTTGCTCCATTTATAGAAATATTTCATATGATCAAATATTTTTGCCTTACAAGCATATCGCAATACAACAGCTATACAAAGGCTACACAGTACGAATATTAATTAGTTAATAATTTTGTCACAAAATTATGAATAAAGTGATGAACACTTAGAGATATAAGGATATCTTTATAAAGTTTATAGCCAAGTACCATTCTCTCAAAATTTTCGAAATTTACCATTAACATTAATAAATCACACTTGATAAAGATCAAGTGATATTAATGCCATAGTTACATGATAGGAATGACAAAAGTGATACGATCATGAAATTGACGTTCCCTCAAACTTTATCTAGATAACGTGACTAAAATAGTTAGTCTAATAAAGAGGATTATGTAACTTTGCCAAATACTACTGCACCTTAAAATGCTAAAATAATCATTGTAGACTCTGAAAGGAAAGAGCATTTGTGTTAGACAAATGTGAAACTCTAGAGGGGGGGGGGTGAATAGAGTTGTTTTCAAGAATGTGCGTATTTCGCGTGTGTGAAATAATAAAATCGCAGGAATAAATAAAGAGAGTAAGGGAAAGAAGAACACCGAGATTTATACTGGTTCACCACCTCGTGGCTAGTCCAGTCCTCCGAGAGACTCTCTCGAAAGTCCTACTAATCTTCAAGCTTCAACGGGTGCTTGAAAAAACCGGTACAACTTGAGAACTTGAATCACACAAGCCTCACTTTCTTACAACAACAAGACTTGAGTCACACAAGTCTTAAGAACAACAGTCAAATGAGATTGAGTTTACAACACAAGAATGAAAGCTCACACAATTGAGCAAAGTAGTGTTGAAGAATTAAAGCTCTATGGATGACAAAATCTTTAGCACTCAATAAAATATTTCTAACTCTCAAAATAATATATTTGAAGAGGAAGATGGAAGCAAAAATTGAATATTGATCAAAGAAGATATTGGAGTGTAAGAGATGTATTTTTAATGAAGGAGGATGANCAACAAGACTTGAGTCACACAAGTCTTAAGAACAACAGTCAAATGAGATTGAGTTTACAACACAAGAATGAAAGCTCACACAATTGAGCAAAGTAGTGTTGAAGAATTAAAGCTCTATGGATGACAAAATCTTTAGCACTCAATAAAATATTTCTAACTCTCAAAATAATATATTTGAAGAGGAAGATGGAAGCAAAAATTGAATATTGATCAAAGAAGATATTGGAGTGTAAGAGATGTATTTTTAATGAAGGAGGATGAGTGTTTTTATAGGGGAAAAAGAAATAAATCCGTTGGAAGTAGGGATGAAGTGTTTTTGACAGATTTGACCGTTGGGGATCGATCCAGGACAAAGGATCGATCATCTGAAGTAAACTTCCGAAAATAAATTTGTGTCAAAAGCACGGGGGATCGATCCAAGGCAGGGGATCGATCCTCTGGAACCAAAAATTCAGGCGACGGATTTTTGCAAGGCTACGTGGGATCGATCCAAGCAAGGTGATCGATCCACCGACGCAAGTTCCGAAAAAAGAAGTGATCGATCTGAAGAAATTGATCGATCTCAATTCCAAAGCACAACACTCAGTGATCGATCCTAACAAAGGGATCGATCCACTGACGAACAAACCTCAAACATGAGGACCCAAAGCATGTGTGCGAGTTGAGTGAATGTTTTGGAGCTTAATGATTTGTTTTGGACAAGGATTTGAATATGATAAGGCTCCCATAAACAAACAAATCAAATGGGTTGAAAAGAATTAATTCAAATTAAAAATTTGAATTAAATATTTGAATTTTGGTGTAGAAATTGAGTCCCAAAAATATTTTGTGTGTCAAACGATGTACAAGAAAAATCTTTAAGGTACATTTTTCTTCTTACCACAAAAAAAAATTTGTGTATACTTAAAAAGTATTTTAAAGAAATTTTGACACACTAGTTTGAAACTGGCTCAATAGAATATTTTTAGACAGAGAAAAATAATTTTTCAACTGACTCAAGAAATAATCATTTTTTTTATCTCTCAAAAATAATTTGTTTATGCAAAAATTATTGTCATCCTTACAAGAATTCCTAGACTCAATAAAAATTAAAAAGGTCTTCGGAGTCTTCACTTCTCTTCAAAAAAAATCTGCGTAGGGGTGATCGTCGATTTTTATCGCCGTAAACTTCTTGATATCCTTCTTTGCTTTTCTCGATACGAAAAAATAAATTTTCGAATATTGATTGAATTTAATCATCCTGTTTGTCATTTATCAAAACAAAAAATATTCCAAAAATAATAAAGGGGTTTGAACTCATGTCCAACAATTTCCCCCTTTTTGATAATGACAAACATAGTTTGGAAAAAAGCAAAGTACAATTCAAGAAATACTTCCCTTAATTGATTCCCCCTGCAAGATTAGAGAAGTGTAGTAAAATAATCGGAGTAATAAGCGGAAAAACGATTTTGAAAAACAAGTTTTCTCAACTATCCTTCCTTCCCCCTTTTGGCATTATCAACCGATAACCTTCCCCCTTAATTGATGCCGGGATTTTGAAGGAAAGTAAAAAAATGGCAAGAGTTTTCTTTAAAAGAGAACTCTTAGTAAAAATGCCACAAAGGGACAATATGTTTTAAGAAAGAACACTATTGCCAAACCAACAATGATATTAATACACAATCATAATTAACATCAACAATTAACAACAATAACTAGCATCATTCAAAAGAACATCATCATCCACCAAAAGAGTTATAAAATAATAACATTTAACAAAGTATAATAAGTCATCACATAAAGAGAGAGAGAGAAATCAAAGTGAACTCGTCGGCCGGGATCCACCGCTGTAACTGTGACGCGGTCCGAGATAAGGTCGTCGCTCTATCTCCGTCATCCGTTGCTCAAGACGCGAGAGACGATGGCCTTGCATGGTCACCTCCATGCGAGTGTGCGCCACATCCGTCCGAGTACAAGTCACGGCGTCTAAAATCCGTTGAAGGATGGAATGATCAGCGCGACGCGATGAAGTAGAGCGTGACGCCCGAGTAGGAGAGGAGCGCCGTGTCGATTCCACTTGAGCGACTTCTTGGATATGCGCCGGTTCGCCCTCCGGGTCATGTTCTTCTTCACCCTCTTCTTCTTCACCTTCTTCTTCTCCTTCTTCTTCTCCTTCTTCTTGCACGACCCTTGGTACATTAGAGTGGTTGAAGGCTGCGACATCGATGTACCACGTGTGGTTCTTTTGGACGTGGATGTCTTTTAAAGGCACTCCAAAAGCTCTCAAAATGTTCATGATCGGGAACACATACCCAAGAGACCCTTTTGACTTCATGAGAAGAAGGTTATTGCAAAAGAATTTTGCCCAATTGATTTTAATATTGTTCAAAAACACAAAGAGAAGACGAGTGTCCGATGAAAGTATTTTGGAATGGCTCGACTTACGAGGAGCTAATACTTTCGAAATGAAGTAATGAAGAATTCGAAAATGAGGCTTAAGACCTCCAACGGTTAGGCGTTCTCGCCCAAGAACTTCTTCAAGGCACACCTCGGTAATGGTGTCGTAAGAAGAAAAGGTTTTGAAATCCTTAGATGTGAACTTGTGGAAATCACATCCCTCAAAAGAGAATTTGAAAAGTTCACCGATATCCTTGAGAGTCATCTCAATATCGGTGCCATTAACGGAGGTTTTGAGGACCCGTCCGTTGAAAGTGAGATTTGTATAAAACAACCGAATTAGATTCGGACAATACACAGGAAAAGTCTCACGAACAAAAGAAGTAACACCGAGTCTATCAATGAAAATGGTAGCATCGTTGAATGGTAAATGACAAAATACGGTATGAAGAACGGATTTGGGCGATAAAATAGGGCGATTCAAAAAATCACTATAGAAGAGGCGTTTAGAATCACCTCTCGGAAAGACAAATGAAGAGACAAATCGTTCCTCTTGGGTTGATGGTTCACCGTCATGAGATTTTGTGCGCAAACGTTTACTGCCTCGGCGATCCGACATGGTGGCTAGGGTTGGAGCACGAGAAGAACAAGAAACCCTAAGAGAGAAAGTAGAAAGCACTTAATCTCAAGTAAACAAGCAAATAAGCAACAATAATCATCAATTTGCAACAATTAACAAATAATTGGAGAGAAATTGAGGAAAGAGGCGAAGAAATCGAACCTGGAAAGCAAGAGGCTTGGTCGCCGATGAGAGAGACAGAGCAGATAACAGAGACGATTAAAAATAATGGTAAAAATGAAGAAGGGAGAGTATTTATACCGTAAGTCAAAGTGATCGATCTATCCAAAGAGATCGATCCTCCGTAAAAGAGTACCTGCGCCGTTTAAGTCCAGGTGATCGATCCCTGTGCTTGGATCGATCCGCCGAATCAGAGCCTGGAAGCAAATAAAGCTATGGATTGGTCCACAAGACTGGATTGGTCCTACTGACGTTGGGCTTAATTCAGGTTTGATTATTTCGCCCAGGTGATCGGTCCATTGGGTTGGATCGATATGCCGAAGAAAACCTGTGAAAAACCTGTGAAAAAGAAAGGCCCAATGGATCGATCCTATAGCCGGGATCGATCCGCCGAATTGTATCTTGAAAAAGCTTCGGTTTTGGTGATCGATCCAATTGTGGAGATCGGTCCCCTCTGTTCCAATTTCGAAAAATGCCCTGAAACACTGAAAATATACCCTGCAAAAAAGAATTATTGCGCCTCCTACGCTCAAATTAGTACCATCAATAAAAAGAATGAATTAATTCATAGAGATATCCAAAATGCCAAGTTCATTCCGAATGTGGAAGAAACTCTCCCTACTAAGGGGTTTCGTGAAAATGTCCGCCAATTGATGTTTCGTTTCAACAAACTCAATTGTGACATCTCCCTTTTGGACATGAT